AAAGTATGGGGTCTGAGTAAGCAAGAAAGCAAAGTGGGCAAAGTGGGCAAAATGGGCAAAGTGGGCAAAATGGGCAAAGTGGTTCCCATTCTTGCACATGGCAGCACATGTGGAAAAAAAAAAAAAAAGAACAGATGGGTTTAATTGCTGACCGTTTAGTCCTAAACGGTCAGCAGTGATGGCAACATGAACGGTGTTAGGGGAGGGACTACAACGAACATAAAAAGTGAAGTAGAGGGACGACGTTTTGGCTCTTTGGTAGCGTAGAGGGACGAAGACGAACATGTCCTTAATAGAGGAACAAGAACGAATAAAATATTAAAGTAGAGAGACAACAATCAACTTTAAACCCATCTTTAAGTATAAATTAAGAATATTTTTTATTATAAATATATAAGATAAAATAAATAAATTAATTTTTTATTTGTTAATATAAATTTATAATAAAAAATATTTAATATATTTTTAATTTATTCTCTTAAAACCCATATAAAATAAATCATAAATTAAATACCAAAGTCATCACTACCTAACCGTTGATTATGTGAGATGGGGGAGAAGAATGGTCCACAAGCTCAAAAACGCCATCACGGGGGGTGTTCACATTAATTAAGATAGCAACTAGTGCACCACCATCTACACACATGCCCTAATTATCGGATTAAAGAGAATAATTATCAACTTGAGAATTACTTTATAATATTATAATCCTGAAAGTGTGCAGAGGCAGCAAATGGACCCATATGTTGTCTTCTCAAACATATCTTTTCCATCCATCCCATGCAATGGAGTTAATGATTGTTATGTATCTACCATCTAACGTGATGTTACTGATGTACTAAATTGATAAAATTTTGACTAGTGATATGTAATTAAACACTTTTTTAATCATCGTTGAATCCTTCAATTCCCCCCATCAATAATTACTGCAACTTCTGCGAATTCTCTTCCTTTGCTGTTGTGAGATTGCAAGTTCACATATTAGAAAGGGAAAATTTGATTTGTATATCTATGGTTTAATATATTTTTG